AAGCTCCACCTGGATATATAAAAAGTATAGTTACAAAAGTTATTAATAATATCACCATTCATTGCAACAATCTCATCTTAAAATATGTGGAAGAGGATATTGTTCTTAGCATAAATGTCAGATTTTTAAGTATGCAAACCGTCGACAATAAATGGGAACCGGCGTTTGCCGGTAAATATTTTTATGCATAATCACAAAGCTAGAAATTGTCTTAAAATTATGCTTATAATTAAAATATTTTAATAAATTCAATTAATGTTTAGAGATCAACACTCAAGAAGTGATGCTTAGAAAAGTTATTACTATTCAAGACTTGACATTGTGCTTAGATAAAATGGATGCATCAGGAAAGATAGAGATATATCAGGTATTTCTAATATAAATTCTAATATAAATATTTCTAATATAAATATTTTTACATTTATCTTGAAAAATCTTAAAGATATAAAAAACATGTTTTTTATTGAAAAAATGTCGCGTGATTTCGATATTTTACATAATGTAAATATTAATATTATAGGATCCTGTTTTATATCGATGTTCAATGACAATCCGAATGATTATAAATTATCATAACAACACTTTAAAGAGAGCATCTATTACAAGACTTGATCTTCATTGTGAGAAAATGGAATTTAGCATGACTGAACAACAAGTACCGATGCTCCTAAGATTGATTGCCTTAGTAATGGCGTTACAAACAAAGCAATTTCCACCAATAAAGGAAAAATCCTCCATTACTGTGGATGAGAGAGAAGATATTGCACAAGGTTTAATATTTTACTTGAATGCTGTCTAAAATATGTATTTTGGAAATATATAATATTAATATTTCAGATGATACAAATCAGATAGCAGGGACTTCCACAGATGCAGTTGGATGGGGTGGTTGGGCTTGGGATATAGTGTCATCTGTTCTACCTGTTGACTGGGACAATAGTTGGTCTGCTGAGCAACAAATGGCATATTCTGGTCATACTGTACATTTAGGTGTTTATATAGATGATGCTACTTTAACATTTAAGGTATAAATGTAATATATTTCAGAATTATTTCTGTTCTAATCATGGAAATTAAAAAACTGAATTTTATATATTTTTACAGACTGTTGAAAGTGTCAAAGAGCAATTATTTTATAAATCTCGAAAACTTAGGTACAAATCCTTTTTATCACTTCGATTGAACGGAGTTGTGATAGATACTTTAATTCAAGGAATAACAATGACAACTTTCCAAATTGGAGTGGCGTGTATACAACTTTATCCACGAGGAACGTGCAGCTGTGGACATATAGAAGTAGCTGACGGTGTACAGGTAATGTAATTAATTATTATTGTCAGAGAGGTATAAAATTAGATGGAATATCTGAGAAATAAATTATTATTATAGCCACCTCTTTACGTAACAGCTGGGAACTTGAATACTGACCACTTAAAAGATTCATTGTTCGACAAAGAAGCCACGGAAAATAAAGGGAAAAAAAGAGATTATAAGCAAGGAATAGATAATCACTTGACGACAATTTCGGGTATAATATAATAAATTTAAAACATATACACGTCTTATACACACAGGAAATAATAAAGATTATGTCTTTTTTAGTTGACAAATTATTAGAAAGAGGTCCAGCATTTGTGATGGATTATGTTTATTACGTAGAATTACCTGATGACATAACGCCTGAAAAATTACTCGAATTTGGTTCAAATTTTGAA